CAATTAAATTAGAATTACATTAACTTTCAAGATTTGAGGAAAAAGCCAGGTGTAGGTGTGGTGACTGACACATGCCTGTAATCTCAGTACCCAAGAGACTGAGGCCAGCATGAACTATACCCCAAGACCCTGTCTCAAAAACATAAAAAGGGAGAAATTATTTTTCTAATAGGCCCATTTCCACGGTGACAGAAGAAAAAGGAAACTAAATGTTTAAGAATTATGTATCAGCCCTGTGCTGTATATGACCCAATTCATCTTGATAATAAATTCTATAATGTAGATATTTCAAAGATAAGCCGAATGAAGCTCAGACAGTTCATGCAGGTAACTAGCAAAGCTGAGGTTCAAGCCGGGTGTGATGGCGCACGCCTGTAATCCCAGCACTCGGGAGGCTGAGGCAGGAGGATCGCTGTGAATTCGAGATCAGCCTGGGCTACATAGTGAGTTCAGGTCAGTCTCAACTACACAGTGAGACCCTGTCCCCGCCCCCTCCAAAAAAACTAAGGTTCAAATGAAAGTCTGTACATGGCTAAAACCTATGTTTTGATGGCTACACAAAAGATATCTAGAAGGATAACAAATAGAAATTTCCATCCTGATGTTCTATTTGGTTACTGATGGCCTTAAATTCTGTATTTTTGGAAGAACAGTTTATACTCAGTTGTTCCTTTCCATTCCTCACTCTCTAACTAATGACCTTCTTGTTGCTGCTCAATCTGAAACAAATCTCACCATGGTCATCCACGGTGTATTGTACTGCTAAACCCAATGGTCACTCAACACTCAAAATTACTAGTACCCCACCCCTTCCTGAAACCCTATTCTCTGGTCTTCCGATTTCACTCTCTTGCTTTCCTCTCACCTGTATGATTAATTCATAGGTCTCTTTTAAGGTTTTTCCTAGTCCTTAAATATTTTCAATCTGCATTTAACCCTTCTACTCTTCTCATTATACACATTTCCTCAGCAATATCACACTCTTACCTTGTTTGAGTTACCACCTATGACTAAGTGCCTACCACATGCTGAGAATGCGCAGCGATGAGTAAAAACAGAAGTGATCCCTAACTGATGTTCCTTCTGCTAAGAGTGGGCTCTCTCCCACTCAGGGTCTCAGGAGCACCAGAAACACAGACACCTGCACCTTAATTTCCTACCTATAACTCAAACTAAACACACCCCAAATGAACTCACTCTCCCTTCTACTCACAATCAGGTCCTTCCACCTCTACTCTATTTTAATAGTGCTAGCAAATACCTTGCTTCAATTACTGGTCTACTTTTCTGTCTAAATCTAAAGCTTGACTATTCTTCTCAATTCCACGTTCAGACAGCTAGGTTAAGGCTCACCTGGATTACTTATAGCCTACAATTGCAACTCCACCCCCAAGATTCACCATTAGTGGTTCTTCCCAGTCAAAATGGTTCAAAGGGCAGATGTGATCACATCACTCTTCCACACCCCATCTTGCTTAAACTTGAAGACTCCTAGTTAATCCAGGTATGGTGGTGTATGCCTGTAATCCAAGCACAAAGAAAGTTGAGGCAGAAGAATCAATTCAAGGCCAGCGTGGACTACACAGAGAGACCTTGTCTACAAACAAACCACAAAACCAGATGAGACTTCGTTGGCTTCAGTGTAAGTCTTAAAGCCTTTCACATGAAAGACTCTGCTGGAAGAAGCCCTGCTCAGTTCTTCAGTTTAGCATTTTGCCACCGCAATTAACACTGCTGCAGGTAAACAAACTTTAAAATTCTTGGCACATACACATATTCTCTTTCGCCTAAAGGCTTCTGTAGTATTATATCCTCTTTCATGCTTTCTTTGCCTAGGCCACTGTCCTATCTTTTGTGAGTGAAAAGAGACTGCTTTGGTTAGAGCCTTTCCTGTGTGTTCCAACTACACTGTGCCAATCCCTTCTGTAACAATTATTATTCTAACAGAGTCTAAAGACTGCAGGAATGGGACTATATTTTATCTTGTTCACTACTGGTTCTCCAGTGCCTGGCATAAATTTTTTAATGAATTAAAATGACCAAATCTCAACTCACACAAGAAGAAGAAAAAAAGAAATTCATTTCAAAACTTTTTCAATTTTCTAATTTAATAGAAATAACCAAAACAATGTGGTTTTCAAACAAGGCTTTAAACTAATCTAATACAACTTCTACAACACATTCCAGAGTATTATAACAAGAATTATTTACAGGCAACTAACGTATTAAATAACCATGAAAAGAAAAAATTTGCTTTTATTACACACCAGCAAAAACACAGGAACTTAACAACTAGAAACTGCAACCTTGTTTAAAAAAATTAAATATGATCATTTAGCGAATACAATATCACAGAAACAGCACTTTTTCTTTAAGAATTATATTGAAGGGTAGTTAACTATGTGCAAAAATAACAGTAGTAGTAGTAGTAGTAGTAGTAGTAGTAGTAGTAGTAATAATGAGGGGAGGATACCAGCTTAAGTACTGGAAGGAAGGAACTAGTAAGGCTATGAATGTAATTAACCCTTTTGTATGTAGGTATGTCTACATAGGAAAATTAGGCTTTCCAATTGCACAATTTTTTTAAAAATAGGCTATGCACATGTTTCACTGTTTTAAAACATAGTAAATGCCTACATTTTTCAGACCAGGAGCAGACATGCATTTCATTCTTAAGAATGAAATCTTGGCTGTAATTGAATGGGAATATTGCAGTGGCACTTACAAATCATTTTGGTGCCTTCCCAAATATAGATTTGGTAAATTTAAAAGAACAACATTTTCAGTTTTTAAAGATTACTTGTTGAAAAGGGCTAAACTTAATTTTATACATTCTGTAGTTTGATATGACATATATGCCCAAATTAACTTAGTTTTGAAGATAATTTTGTTTCTACAATACAATAAAAATATATAAAGGACCATATAAGCAAACGTAAGAAACTAAGATGGAAGAAATACATTTTTTGACTGAGTAAAACATGCATTTGGCCAAGTAAAAGAAGCTGTTATACCTAAGAGTACATGTTGAAATCTGAAATGTCTATGTAAACTGTGGCATATAAATTTTTTTCCTTAAAAAAGTACCTTCAATTTTTTTACTCAAACACTTACTTTTAAAAAAATATGCAACTTTCCCCAATTTTTAAAATAAAATGCCACAATATATTGTCATTACCGCCAGCATACATTTAAATTTTTTAACTTTTTAAAAGATACACTGGGTGATATGCATACAAACTTTCCTATAAAATCACCATCCAGGAGAGGATTATGACATGCTATTAGGCAACAGACTTAAAGCAGTTTTATTGCTTTATCAAGGAGGAGATAACTGGGAGGAAAAAAAAATTAACATCTAGGTCTGGTATATGATCCCACTGTTAATACACCTGGAAAATCTTGAATCACCTTCAGCAGATAATTAATAAGGATTGTATGAATTAAGAATTCATGGTATGAATTAAGAATTTTATTATTTTAATTAAGGGAATTGGGTGGGCAGATTTTTATAAAATTACTGATCCAATGTTGAGTACGCAAAGGAGCAGTGCTGACTTGGACAAAAAGATTTTTGTATTTTATGTGTTGCATGTGAGTAAGGGTGGGTACAGGATGGAAAGTCTAAGAAGAAGGGGCCATAGCATCTACTCTCACCTGGACAGTAAGAAACCCTTCAGTAAAATATGGTAGGCCACAACCCGAGGGCAGAGTTGAAAAACCTGAAACTACAGGTTTACATCAATCACTAATAATTACATGGCAGGATACCTGCTGAGGTAACTGATAAATCTACAATTTAGATACTTTACAGCATTATTCCTTTTGATTTTTAACTAAAAATCACGAAACTTGTTAAAACAAAAATTATCTAAAATTCCTTTATATGAGAAACAGAAGTCAGAAAGGACTAACTCCAAAAAGAACAATTTCATTGGCAGATCTAATGTCTTATCATCTCTCTACAGCAATGATTTGATGGTTTTATATAGAGCATGACCTATACTTTGAAATTTTCACATATTGTACTTTGCAAATCAATTCCTTCACTCAGTGAATCAACTGAGCCAAGTGCTGAAAGACACAAATTTAGGTCAGAATAGATTGAGGAACACTTTGTTTTTCTGATAGGAGAAGCAAACTAAAGTGTAGCAAAACCATTGAAAGCCTTTAAGGAAATACCATAGTATAATGTGGACTTTTCTCCAAATTGAAAGTACTAACTCTTAACAAAGAATACAAATACAAAAGCATATCAGAACAAATGATTTCAGGAACTAATACATTCAATCTTTATCTTTTTAAAACATAAATTACCAGGGAAAACATTAAATAACTGAATGTCAACTTAAATTTTTATACTTTTTAATCAGTTATATTAGAGCTTAACAAATCAGCTTAGAAAAAAATGATCAAGAAAAAAGTTTCACCAAATTTAAAGTGAACATCTTCATTTAATGGTGGTTGGCTGACTATTACGTAATACTAATTCCTCAGCAGTAAGAACTGCCTTCTGTTAATAGAAATGGAGCCTATTAAATATTGACAATAAAATGTTTTTTAAATTGAACAACTTAGTCAATCTTAAAAGAAACAAAAACTAATCTGAAAATGTTTTTAAGGGAACACATCTTTTAGAGCTCTAGATATTGAGAAATATTTAGTTAATAAAATGTGTTTCTCCCTCCCACTTGGCAGAACCTTTTTATGACTTATTACCTAAGAATTCTGAAAGGAATTCACATGAAAAACAAATATAAAATAAAAAAGCTCAATGGCTTAACAAAACAAAGTCATACTGCTATTCTTCACTTTCTAAAAATGTGCTCTTGGATACATGCCTACTTATTAATTGAAATCACAGATGATGTGGAAAAGAGGGAAGTAGGGATACGTAAAAGCATTTTAAAAATGTTCCCCCTTTAAAAAAAATCTTAGGAACTTGAAATTTCAATAAAATGATAAAACAGTTTGGTATGTTTTAAAGCTTAATTTATAATAGAAAAAAGAAACTAAAAGAAAGCCAGAAGATAAAGTAATAAGAAATAAGAAAATTAATACTGTTTAAATATACCATCAGAAGGTCTGAATCATATTCCTGTTTACTCCCCACCCTTTATTAAGAAAAGAAATACAACCCAAAAGAATCTGTATAATAATTTCTTTAGAGCACTTTATTTGATTCAATATGCACTAAAAAATATTTACTTCTTAGACAATTATGTCAATGTTCTGAGTAGTCTGCAGTCTGAACGGCTTAGATGAATTTTTTAAAAAGGCAAATGATTTGCCACAAATCTGCTGACATCTGAAAAATATCTAATGGCAAAATCCTCTATTTTGGTCACTTTATATTCTAACGTTTTCATACAAAAGGAGGACTAAAATTTTTAATTCAACATAAGAGAAGCCTGTACACAGTCTAGAACACACATCTTGAATGTCAGCATCACAAATGAGAAGAAAAATGAACCAGAGCCAGGTTGGTTTATCTGCCTCAGGTACTGTAATCAGGGAAGGAAAAGGTGGGTTTACTCCAGTAACCATTCAAGTGGGGATTGGCTCATTTTCAGGATTTACTTACAGGTCTCTTCTAAGTCCTTTAAGCCCCCAGTCCATGCAAATGTCCCACTTGGTGGACAGATGAGTAATCTAACCCCACCGGGTTTATTTCAATATTTTGATATTTCAATAATAAGCTGCTTCTGAAGATTTTGAGAAGTCTGTTCTCTATTAAAATAAGATAGAACTTCAAAATATGAATGTGAACATTAGAAATAGACAGCATATATTACAAATCCATTCTTGATAGGAACATTAGTAAGAATACACATTAGCTTAAAAAACAGCCTCAGCAAATGTTGCTGATCTGCCAGAAGTTTTAGTTCATTATTTACAAATAAGACAAAGTGAAATACAGAAAATTTTACACATTTGGTAGTTGACAGATTACTGTTTGCCAATAGTGGTCTACTGGAAAACTGTTAGGAAGGAAGACTGGGTAAGAGCCAGTTGTCACCTTCTCAATCAAATTTAAATGTACAGAAAACAAGATTAATTTTAAAACAAACATTCTGCCTTTCATAGGAATAACTTATGATCATGTGATTTGACTGGGAAGTGCAGCTCTGTGAAGTATTTTCTGGAAATGACTAAATGACTACTGTAACTCTCTATATGATCCACTACTGAAAAGTTGCCATTTTTATTTTAGTAGATCACTGAGGGCAAAACAAATATTCATGTTTCCTAAATCAGTATGTATGAAAGTACTGCTGAGTTCCCTAATTTAAAAGTGAAGGCTCAACAGTACGAAAATGAAGAAAAATATAATGGCATGATTCTATACATATCTCCACTGAGATGAAATGAAATCTGAGCTACTATTTATTTACTGGTACTGGGGATCAAATTCCGGTCTTGTGCTTGCGAGACAGGCACCGGAACCACTGAGCTAAATCCCCGGCCTGAGCTACTTTTTAAACAAGAAAAACCCAGTATGCTATGTGTGTAAAATGGATACTTAAATTTTTTTTTTAAATAACTGCAGTCTAGTCCAAAAAGACAATTTATCAAGCAACATGAGCCTTATGTTTACTTGCACACCTAGAATCCCGCACCAGTCGATACCACATGATCATCATCTGCCACTTTCTAACAAAGAGCCATCCTTTTTAGTAACAAATCCGGAAAAGTCATTTCATCTTTTTTTTTTTTACTTTAAAGTTGCAAATAGAATTATCTTCATCTTGACAAGAATGTTTTCTGTCCATTATATCAATCTAATACTGTGTAAAAACTATCAGGTTCTTCAAGGAGATGCCCAGTAAAGGCAGGATTTATTCCAGCAACACTTAAATAAAAGGCTTTATTTCTTTCTTCCTTTTTAAACAACTGATTTAAGTCCATGTTATTTTACTTTATATGTACTGGTCTCTCATCTGACTTTAGGCGTTTTCTGCGGGGCTGTATAAAGTCTTCATCAGAGTCCTCAGTTACCTCACCATCATCCTCTTCCTGCTCAAACTCTGGCAAAGGTGCGAAGGTCCTGTCTGAGTAGATCTCTGTGAGTTTATCTTCAAAGTACAATGCAACTGCTTTCCCTGCCTGAGCTACTTCTGAATCAGCCTGCAAGCAAAAGATAGGAATATTCACCTATTGGTAATGCACTTTCCTTCACCAAGTTTGCATGGTCTGAAAAGCTTACCTTCAAATTAATCTCTTGTGTGTCTGCATAAACTTGAACAACTTTCATCATCTAAAAAGGATACCAGAGTCAAAAAAAAAAAAAGGGAAATTATAATCCTTTCTAAAGTTATAAGACTGCATAGGATTGGTGACGAAAGTCTACCATACTAGGGAAAACAAACTGCTATAACCAGATTAAGTGCTTTCTAAAATTCTATAGAACACAGAATCACTTTCTTTACAAAGTTCTGTTACTAAAGCTTTTGAGAAACCTCAATAGTTGTCTTACTCCAAATTAGTGAGGTCAACCTAGCAGAAATTGGCCTAAATATATCAATCGACTCAAGAGAAAAGATTTATGAAATACGATAAATGTCATCTTAAAAACCTCTCAAAATTTTCATAAAACATTCAGAATTTTACCCTTATGGTAGTATGTTAACCGTAAATTATTATTAATAAATCAGGTAAAATGAGCCTTCCTGTCAACTATATATAGTTCATAAAACCTTATTTATTTTAAAACATCTAGGAGCATTAAAAAAGAGACAAAAAATTGTATTTGCTAAATTTTTACTTTATTCTCTGGTGTACTGCTATAAAGGTGACTAGACTTTTCTTTCACCTTATAAGAATTTTATTTATTGATTGATTGACTATTTTCTGAGACAGGGTCTTGCTATGTAGTTCAGGCTGGCCTTGAACTCAGCATGTAGCTAAAGCTGGCCTTGAATTCATGGCAATCCCCCTGATTCAGCCTCCTAACTGCTGGGATTACAGGTGTGTGCCACCACACCTGGCTAAGAATTTTAAACAATGTAATGCACCACCTGGACACTTCCAAAGACCTGTTGGTAGGCTTTAAAAGTTTCACTGTGATTTATTTTAGTAAGTCATATGGCACCCACATTTTATCAGCAATAAAGATTTTAGTATTAGCCTTTATAAAGGTTTTATGGATTCTCATCCAATTCTATTTTCTTCCCCTATAATGAAAACCTTCTATAACAACAGACTTGATTTAATCCCAAACATAGCAGAAAATTAATTCCCTTGACTAAAGTATCTATCACATTGCTTGAGAAATGGGTATCTCTTACTCTTACCCTCAAAAAGCAAAGACAAGAAAAAACGTAAGTGAAAGTCACATTGCTAAAATCAAAAAATTCACCTTATTCTCTGGCTACTGTTCTAGATGAGTCACCAGAAAAATCCCTGTGATTTTAAGACTACATTTATGTGGTCTTAAGATCTTAAAACACTGTAGGCAAATGCCTTTCCTAGAAGCACTCAGAATGCGAGCTGTTTATAATCATATTACACAATATTTACTTCAGACTACCTTCCACACTTAACCCAACCCTAAACCATTTAAGGACAGTCTATAATAATTATTCTTAATGTATTATATATTTAAGTACATACTCCAAATTACACATAGTAAATATTCTTCTTGGGAGCTGTGAGTAAAATAAAATTTTACTTTTGACAGGACTGAGGCAGAAAATGAATTTTAATCAAATCTGAAAAGTCATTCATCAGGAAAAACAAAATCCAAAAATCAAAACAAGCAAACAAAACTAACAAACTAATATACTATAGGTTGGAAGCTAACATACTTCATTAAACCTTTCACAGTTCTTGAAGATCAAACGGACATCAGCCACAAAGTCATCTGGGATTTGGTAATGTTGGGAATGCTTTTTCTGAAGCTTCTTTTTCACAGTGGATAAATCCATTGGTTTCTTTATGATTTTATAGTAGTTTGGTATCTAAAATAAATAAGAGTAGATCAGAGCTCTCCAAAATGCCAAACTGTTTAATTTGAAAATGTACAGTGTTAATCAGATTTTGGGGCTTAGTAAATGCACTTTAAATCCTTTGTCCCAATCTATCATGAAAACCTAATCTTGCAAAGTATGGACCGCTTTTCCATGGTTATTGCAAATCCCAAAAGCCCTATGTGTAATAAGCGATCTGGAAAGAAAGCAATCAGCTAGGGTATCCTACCAGTAGACTTAAGGCCACATTTAGCTCATCAAGAAACATTTCATAACTCCTGAGGTGTTCGAAAGGAAAGAAAAAGAATTATGAAATATGCACATTAATGATATAATTAGAACATGTCTTTTAGGTGTCAAAGAAAATATTTATATCTGAGAAATCTCAGATTAGCAACAATGAAAAACTGTTAGTGTTCTGACTCCTTTTTGCCAAAAATTTTTATACTTGAGATATAATAGAGACATCATTTAAATACAGTATTCTATGAAAACATTTAAAAATCATGTACCATGAAATTCCTGAACTTAAAGATGAAAGACTTTTTAGAATCAGATGATTACTAATTATGCAGAACATCATCCAACTGTCTAGACCCTTTTTAAAGGGTCTTTGAGAAGGTGCTTTAAAATCCTTTCTCAGCCTACCAAGTAAACAATTTATCATTTAATATTCTACAACAGGTCTGTAACAGATCGACAATATCTCATCTAATAACAGATAGCTAGGAAATACATGTGGCACAGTTTAAATCTACTTAATAGAAATTAAGAACCTCTGGTTTTTCTATTACTATAGTATTTTGGAGCCTTTATTCCTTATAGAAGCCTCCTGTAGGATAAACACTACTGACTTGCAAAATTTCCCAGGCGTCTTTCTTATTCTTGACTGCGTAACAAGGCTTATAACAGCAAAGTCAATATAAAAGATTTAATTGCATACTTTTGTTCAATTACTATTTACATAGTCCAAGATACAGAACTAGAATCTTAGAATATAGATTCTTAGAAATAATTTAGCCAAATACTTCTATTACACAAAGCAAAGCCAGAAAAGTATGTAATTTCCCCATTTATAAACCTGGTTGATGGAAGAACCCTAAGAACAAGTTTTCTTCTGGTTCAATATTTTTTCCATTACAATTTTTTTATGTTGATCTTAAAAGAAAAAAAAAATTACATTGAGTTCTCATCAAAGCAACAAAATTTCTGAAAACAAATTTTTGCTTTTGTTTTTTTGCTCTTTTTGGTACCGGGGATGAAATTCAGGCCCTTGTGCTTGTGAGGCAGGCGGCAGAACCACTGAGCCAAATCCCCAGCTCTGAAAACAAATTTTGACAGATGAATCATATCTATTTATCTCTCATAAAATTTATGGTTAAATAATATTTTCTGTTATCAGGCACTATACTAAGGACTTTACATTGCTTATCTTATATAACTTCCAGAATAACCCAATGAGGTTAAAAACAGTATCAGAATCATTAATGTGTACATGTACTGAATCATCACATTATTTGTCATAATTTGCACAATAATAATGAAAGAAAGAAGTGGGGGCGGGAGAGGTGGGCCAGGCATAGTGGTGAATGCCTGAACTACATAGTAAAACCCTTTCTCAAAAAGCCAAAAAGAAAAGAAAAAGGGAGGGGAAGGGACGGGAAGGAGAGAAAAGAAGGTGATTAATCTAGGGAAAAGAAGGCAAGAGAAAGTGTTGATTAAAAGGTGTAACATTTCAGTTAGATTGGAAGATTCAATTTTAGTGATCTACTATATAACACTGCATGGTGGCCATAGTTAATAATAATGTATTGTGTATCTCAAAATTGCTAAAAAGGATTTTTAATAGTCTTACTGCAAAAACAGAAGCTAAACTGTGGAGGTGATAGATATGTTAATTAGCTTAACTGAATGTACAATGTGCACATAGATCAAAACATGAAATTATATCCTAGAAAAATACACAATTATTTGTCAATTACAAATACAATTTTAAAGATGAGGGGATGTGTTATTAAGTCTCAGGGAGGTCAAGGATCTTACTCAGGAAGCCTGCATTTTAACATAAGCCCAGTTTAGGGCCAGAGGTCATACTCAAGTATTATACTCAGTTGGTAGTACCGAGTGCAACTCACCGAAGCAGGAACCGGCTCCTGGAATTCAATACTTAATTCATGGCAATAGAGGTAAAGCAGAAGACGTTCACATTTCTGGTCCAAAAAAGAACAGGAAGATACATAAAGTATTTTGATCCCCAAGGAGATACTCTTGAGGGTAATAATGAAATCATTATAAAATATTAACACACACACAAAAAAAATCAACTTTCTATAGTCTAGTTATATCTAACCAAATAAATAAAGAAAAACATCTTGCTTCCCATTTAACTAAGATTATGTTCAGTTCTACTTTAAATTAAGTGCGCCTGTCTATTATTTACTCTTGGTTTTTATCCATATGTAAGGGAGTCAAAAGCAATACATACACTCTGTGGTAACAGATAAATAAATCATCGCTGTTGCATCTCACTGTAATTCTCTGAGGCAGATGAGACAAATATTATTACTCCTTTTCTTCAAATGACTCTACATTTGGGCTCAAAATAAATAAAAACTGTCTTCTCTATCCAATTAAAAATAATCTTTTTTACACAATCAGTAAATCGAGACATAGTTTACATTTGTCAATCTCTATTTACTAAAAGAAAAACTTTTTGAGACAGGGTCTTGCTATGCATAGTCCGGGTGGTCTTAACCTCACAATCTATCTCAGGCTCTTGAGTGTTGAGACTATAGGCACCTGCCACCACACCCAGCTTCAACCCCTTTTAATGTTAAGTGTGGACACGCTAAAAGCGTATCTACCCTTCACAGATTGTAGAGGAAGGATTTTGCAAGTATACACATTAAATTATAGGTAAACTTAACTACAATCACCACAGTACTATGTGAAAGATGATTTTTCTTTAAAAATCAGACCACAGGGCCTGGGATTTGGCTCAGTGGTTCTGCAGCCTGCCTTGCAAGCGCATGGTCCCAAGTTCAAGCCCCGGTACGCCCCCTCTCAAAATCAGACCACAGAACAGATCAACAGAACTCTAATAGAAGTGAGTAAAGAATTCTGAATTTCACTTTTAATATGGGAGGCTATTACAGGATTTTCAGCAAGGAAGTGATCTGTTTACTTCTTTTTAAAAAAAGAAGAGGCTACAGCTGGGTGTGGTGGTGTACTTCTGTAATCCCAGCACTCGGGAGGCTGAGGCAGGAGGATCACTGTGAGTTGAGACCAGCCTGGGCTATGTAGTGAGGTCAGTCTCAACTACATAGCCAGACTCCGCCTCAACAAAAAAAAAACCCAAAAAAGAAGCAGAGGCTGGGTGTGGTGGCTCTTGCCTGTGATCTCAACACTCTGAAGGCTGAGCCAAGAGGATCTCCTTGGGTTCAAGGCCCGTCAGGGCTACATAATGAGTTCAAGGCCAGCCCGAACTACACAGTGAGACCTTTTTAAAAAAAATGTTCAATGCAATATAGAAAAACAAACTATAGAAAAGACACAGAAGAGTAATGAAATTATTCTAACAGTCTAGATAGAGGAGATTAAGATGGGTGTCTAGGACAGTAATGGTAGGGGGCAGTAAGAAAATGGTAGTATCATAATCATACCTCATTTCAAATAGATTTCTAGAACAGTGAAACCTTAACTTACAAACTCAATTTATTCACGAGGTCTGGTTGTAACTCAAGTTGGTCAACTGAAGGCTCAGGCTCCTCTACACAGCCTTCAAAGTCTCTCTCCTGTAAACAGGCAGACCTCAGTGTCCTTGAGACATTGGCCCAGGATTTATCAATTAACCCCACACAGGAAAGGATACTGTAATGTTCCTTCCAGAACCCTTTAAGGGTTAAATCTGTATCCGAGGCCATCTGATAGCACAGTGGCTGGCATTCAGGTCAAAACTCAAGACTTTGGTCCTAAGTTAAATAAGAATTCCAATTGTAGTCCCAAGTTATTTGTACATCAGGCCAGTCGTAACTCACAGGTCCATTGTGCAAGCAAAAGATGAATGGTACTGCCATTTAGTAATGAAGAAAGGAATAGTTTTTAATGTTATTTGCTTGTTTTCTGAGGATGACTTAAAAAAAAAAATCAAGATTTTTGTTGGGACACACTGAGATTGAAGAAGCTGAATCTAAAGGTCTAGAGCTTAGGGCTAGATAAAGATTTTAGAAGACATCAATATACCACCTGAAAAGTAAATATCAGCTTATGTGTATATTACATGGGGAGGGGGATGGGCAGACAACTGCAGAATCCCAGTAACAAATGTACTTATTTGAAACTTACCCTTTGGTCCACTGGGCTTAATCCCTGTGCAGTTTTTCCCTTCTTGCTGTGTTGCAAATTATCACAATCATATTCAACTTCTGGCTTCCCAATATCTCTGCAAAATGTGCATATCCAGTCCCCACTAAAGGATGGAAAAAGATGATCAGTTCATGTAATGATTAACACAGGCTGCTATAGAAAAGGTAGTTCCCTACATTAAAGTCTCTAGGTTTGCTTTGTTTGGTTTTCAGTTTCTTTGGAAAAGAGAAACTCCAATCTTTTAAGGTTGTGTAATTAAAACTTCCTGAAACTTTTCCCAGGCATCCCCAAGTGATTACTTTGTGGAAATACAAAACAGCATCACTCTATTAAGCAGAATACAAAGTTGATGATCAGTACTTGCAGCATGAGGCCTGAGACCAAGTACTTCGGGTCCCTGAATTATCATCACATGGACCTAATTCCCCAATTACAAAAGAGGAGCTGGGTGTGGTGATGCACACATGCAATCCCAGGACTCAGCCAGCTGAGGCAGGAGGATCGTTTTCAGTTTACAGCTAAACTGAACTACACTACAGTGAGACCCTGTCTCAAAAAAACAAAGAGTAGGGGGGCCAACAATTTAGCTCAGTGATTCTGCCGCCTGCCTCGCAAGCGCAAAGGCCTGAGTTTGATCCCTGGTACCAAGAAAAAAAAAAAGGTCCTGAGTTTAATCTCCAGTACCAAAAAAAAACCCCAAAAAACCAAAGAGTAGGGCCAGGGATTTGGCACAGACAGATGCATACATTTAAAAAATCTAGGGATTGTACCAACATATCCTTGTCAACACTCTAAAATTCCTTCCCTTCAAAGGAAAGCATTTATTGGCAAAATCCCGATGTATTAAGTAGATGTTAGTACCCAAAGGAAAGAAAAATTTCATGAAGCCTTAATTCCAAGACCAAAGTGCCAACATGTTTTTTTTCCTGAAAGAATAAAGAAAAAGAAGTCCCTTTATTATATCTCTAGCAAAATTACTACACCTACACACCCACACACACACACCAGGGATTGAACTCGGGACCTTGCCTCTGCAAGGCAGGTGGTGGAACTACTGAACTAAATTCCCAGCCCTACCTTCTAAAATTTAGTTAAGAATTATAATGCAGAAAAACAATCTAGCACTATTTATGTTTTATCTACTAGTTTTCTTTTCTTTTGGCGCCAAGGATTAAACTGAAGGGAGGAAATAAGAGTTCTTTTAAACCAAACTCTATACTTGCCCCTAGAAAGCAGTGAGCTTTCCATGTGTTTATTATAGAATTACAACCAGACTACAGGTTTGTGACTTAGCCCACCTTATGTATTCTACTTTAGTAGCTGCTATAATCAGCTTGCCTTGGGTGCTCACCTATGAATTTTTTCAAGCTTAAAACCATATTTAGGACCTACCTGGTCAGTCTGAGGACCAACCTCATATTCCTCCCCAATCTTTTTATTTATATTTATCCCACACTGTTCTCATCTGCAAAAGGAATCTGGTAACTGTCCATTTCAAAATTACTGAATGAAAAGACACCCCTACCACCTTGTAACAGAAAAAGTCAAAAATCTGCAGTGCTGGAGGAGACACTACCAATTAACTGCTTCCAATGTAAAGAGGAAACTATCTGCACCCCCAAAAGCCAAGACATTGAAAATAATTTTACAAAGGATTTGCTTTTTCCTTTAAAATGATTTCTGAAAGCTTTCAAACTTTGGAAAAATTAAGTTTTGGTCACGATTCAAAAGAGCTGACTCTAAACTAAACCGCAGGCATGAATAAATTATTGTAGACCCTACTAAGGTTGAAAGTATCACATTTACAAAATTAACCTCTGAGACTCAGGGTGTAGCTCAAGGGTAGAGTGCTTGCCTAGCATGTCAAGGCCTGAGTTTGACCTTCAGCATGACATGCAATCAATCAAATAAAATAAAAAACAGGACTTTCTTCAGCACACTGACCCCTGAGCCCTCACCTCTCTTGAAGAGTTTTATCTGATTTCCATAGATTGAATATGAACCAAAGACCAGGAGATGAAAACTATCATTAATGTTTCATTACATTTTGGACATTTTATCATTCTGTTAATAGTTTCTCTGAAAGTTAACACCCAAGAAATAATCAACTGTTTTACAGAAATACTGTGCATTAAGAAGGACATTTTCTCCAACAAATTTCTGCTATATTTTTGGCTTATGAAAATAACAATAACAAAATTGATTACTTCACTGGTACCTTGGAAAGCTAAGAAGTGTTGGAACATGGCAAGTTAGATGAAAGACCTTTGGACATTTTTCACAGCACAAGAGATCCCCTCCATTTTGGCAGACAGCACACCAGTCTTCATTTGGGTCATCGTCTTTGTTGTTGCCATCTCCTCCAATCCTCGCTGACCTGTGAATGAGGCTTCGAATTGGAGACTTTCCATTAACTAGGCTGCTGAGCCCGGACTGCTTGCAGCTTTCATTCATATCTGTAGGTTCAGATTTCACATGGTTTTCCAGGCTTGCTAATGCATCCAACTCACTCTCTAGATGCAGGTTGGTGGACAGAGGTGGTGTCAAACTACTCTCAGGACTGCTCAACTAAAACAAAACAAAAACAAATTCTTGAAAAACCATTTAATCATTACTGCATGCAGTATGTATTTAAAAATTATGCCATTATACATACAGATATATTGACATAACTTAAAACTATTTTGTAAATCCTATTGGTGACATAAAGGAATGAAAATAACCCCTAAATTATTTAGGCACACTAGCACAAAGAGAAAATTATGGAGCATTATTTTTCTAACTTTTGCATAGCATCTGAGAAGCATTCTGGCCAGGTACAGTGGTACATACTCTTAAGTCACAGCTACCTGGGAGACTTAGAGCAGGAGGACTTCAAATATGAGGCCAACCTAGTCAACTTAGTGAGACCTTGACTCAAAACTTAAAAAATATTTGAGTGTTCGTATGCTGGAGATGTAGCTCAGTGGTCCAAGCATTTTTATAACATGGGTTTAATCTACAGTATCACCAAAACGAGAGAGAGTGAGAATGAATTCTGTTATGTCCTGCTGTCTACCTATCATTTACAATATAGGGAAATTGTGACTATGTAAAATAAATCTTAGAAACATTTACCATCCTGTGCCCCCCTTTTTTTTGGTACTAGGGATTGAACTCAGAGTCTTGCACTTACCAGCACAGCGTCACTGGAGATACACCCTTGGCCCCATGCTCTATTTTTTTTTTTTTTTGAGACAGGGTCTCACTATGTAGTTGAAACTGACCTGGAACTCACTATGTAGCCCAGGCTGGTCTCGAACTCACAGCTATCCTCCTGCCTCAACCTCCCAAGTGCTGGGATTACAGGCCACCATGCCCAGCTTTAATAGCAGTTTTAATGCTGAGCTCATAGGTGAAGAAGAGTAACATAAGAATTTTTGTGGCCTGAGATCCGCAGTAAATACTGAAATGATTGACAAATTCAGAAAATGACAGAACCCAACTTACTATCATAGCAAAAATATTAGCTAAATTCAAATTCGGAAATAATTTCAAATGAGGACTTAATATATAAGTCCTTAAATGCTCTAAGGCCCCTTTGATGAATTACACCTGCCTCTTAGATAAAAAAACAAAACAAAACAAAAACTGAGTCAGAAAAAGAGAAATCTGGCTTGTGCTGAGCACAAAAATTCAAAGATTAATAAATATTCCTAGACCCTCTATTCAATCTAACATTGAGATGGAATAATCCATAAGATGACCCTAGTAGGAACTTACCATGCAGGCACTCCTCCTCCCGTCCTCAGTCTTTTCCTGTTTCACAGCTCCTGAAAAACTACAGATCTCATCCTCAGTCCCAGGTTCTTGCTTGACTTTCACTTGATCAGATTTGAAACTAAGACCTGTCTTCTCAGCAGTTCTTCCTGATGACCCACAACTATTGAAAAACAAATAAAAGGTCACACATTTGATCGTAGGGTATAAAAGACAAATTAAGAGTACTGTTTGTTACAAAGAAGACAATGATGACTTCATGGAAGGTAAGGGTATCTCTTAATGCCTAGTTTCAAATCTCCTTTAAAATATAAATCAAACATTCAGAAGGCCCTATTAATAAATTTTATGGTCTAAGGTACTTATAATAAATCACTTAAGAGTTTAGTAAACAATCATTTTCCCCAGCCAATACAGATGGAGTACTTTCTTCTGAAGCACTTGGCATCAGAACTGTTTCAATATCAGGGTTTTTTTGGCTTTTTAAATATAGTGGTACTTCAGTTCACAAACATTTTTTGTTTACAAACTCTGCATCAGGTGACAAACACGACCACAGCCATCTTTCCTACACAAAACATTTTTTCCAGAATCATGGAAGGAATTAAGTTCATGAACCACGGTTCCACTGTATTTGCACATACATGACGAAATGTATTGGGGGTGACATTCAAATGTAAACATGAAATTCATTTATGCTTCTTAATTTTTATTTTCAGTGTACTCTGCATTTTACTCACGCCTTCCACAAGAGGTCAGGTGCAATTGGAATTTCCCACTTTGGGCATCAAGTTAGCATTCAATGTTTTGGATTTTTGATCATTTCAGATTTTCAAACTAAGAATGTTCAACCTACAGTATAAAATGTCACTGACTGCTTCTCATACTAATTTCAATTCTTTTCAACCTCCTCAAACATCTAAAAAAAATACTACACATCTATAATAGTGGCTCATGGAATCTCAAATAAGTAAAGATCACTTTAGCTTTTGGAAGAAGGGGACTGAAAGCAGAGGGTAATGATTAGAGGCAAAAACCTGGAACATCTTATTTGGATTAATGTAAGGAATGGCAAGAAGACAATACTGTTCACTCTGTCTAGAGCACACAGTAAAATTACTGTAAGAGAAGTGAATAACTAGTCAGGCTGTATAGCTACTTAGAATGAACATTATTTTCATTCAGTTGGTATTTCTCTTCTAAAAGTATTATTTAAAGCATCCCTAAAAATCCAATGGAATATTTAACAGGAACAATCGTCACCCCCCCACACAGAACACTCATGTAATATCTTAAATACTTGTATTCTGTTTTAAAGCATTCAAAGTAGGAAAGAGTAAAACACAACCAATACTTACCGTATTTTATCTTATTCCTATGTCTTAGCTCTATCACTGAAAAGAACCAACAGTCAACAATCTAGGGCAGTAAGTAACTATAGAACTTGGAATACTCTGCAAACACTATTTTCCCACTAATATGACCAAGATTTCTTGGGAAATGGCAAATTCCCAACAGAGGCAAGAAACATACAAGATGAACCTGGAATTTTATAGGAAACAAGGAGGCTTTCAAAAACTACCAGAATTACAGCAAAAAGTCTACAGAGCAAGCCTAAAAAACTCGACAAACCATAAATTAAGAAATTTAAGACACCAATAAAAATCATAACCAATGCCAGGCGTGCTGGTGCACACCTGTAATCCCAGAGCTTAGGAGGCTGAGGCAGGAGAATCACTGTGAGTTTGAGACCAGCCTGGGCTACACAGTGAGTTCTAGGTCAGTCTCAACTATATAGTAAGACCCTGTCTCAAAAAAAAAAAAAAAAAAAAAAAAAAAATTACAACCAGATGAATTAAAACATCAAAATGTTTACATATATGATTTCATAAACGCAGTAATAAAAAACTCAATGGTCACTCTTGGAGTATGTTGGTATCAAGTCATCATCATGAAAGCAAATAAATACAGAGAATTTACTTCGCTATTCCTATATTCCAATAACTGATGACAAAGTTTCTCCTTACAGAAGCATTCTAAACTAATAAACAAGGAATGATACACCAATTAAAATAACTTTTCAAACAATAAAGAATTAATGGTGGCCACCACAAAAAAAAAAACCCTAACCAGATACTGTGCCTTGACAGAAGTCCAGAGTACTATCATGAAGTGTTCTTGTCTTCTCTTCCCACACATCCAACCTGAATTTGATAAAACTTCCTGATTTAACTGCCAACACAGACAAAATACAGGAGGCAAAGTATTTCAATGACAAAACACAGAAAGGGAAAATGACAGGAGAAACAACAATATCTCTAATAAATACACTGATGTTGATATAAACACATCAGTTGATACCAATGTAAAGAGCTTATTTAAATCTGATTCAAAGAAATTTCTAGTAAGTTGGTGGTGGCACACACTTGTACTCCAGCACTCTGGAAGATGAGGCAGGAGGATCTTTAGTTTGAGCCCAGTCTAGGCAATGTAGAAATCCAGTTTCAAGGGGGAAGGGGGTTGGGGAGGTAGTTCAGTGCAAAGGCCATGCTTTCAACCCCCAGTAACACATACTCACACACACACACACACACACACACACACACACACACACCACCAACAAAAAAATAACCCCCAAACATTTACCCCCCACAAAAGGGGCATTTACAGCAAAAACAATTAAAAGCCTTGAATATTAACTGGATCTTTTTTTTTTTTTTTTTGGTACCAGGGATGGAACCCGGGCCCTTGCACTTGCAAGGCAGGTGGCAAAACCACTGAGCTAAATCCCTGGCCCAACTAGATTCATATTGATATTAAAGAATTGTTTAATTACTTTAGGTATAACAATTCTGTGATTAAGTTTAAAATTTCTTATCGTTGCTGGGTATAGTGACACACACCTGTAATCCCAGCTACTTGGGAGGCGGAGGCAGGAGGAGGATTACAAGTTTCAGGCCAGCCTGGGCAACTTAATGATACCCTGCCTCAAAATAAAAAAATAAATAAAAACAGAAACAAAAAAAGAACAGTAAGTGATACTGAAATAGTCACAAATAGAATGACATGATGTCTGAGACTTGTTTCAAAATAACAGATCAAGAGGAAGAAGGAACAAACTAAGAAAGTACAGAGGAAGTAAGATTGGCCCTAACTTAATCATTATTGAAACAGGGATAAAAGTACATAGAGGGTGTAGAGTCTACTTTTATTAAATAAAAGTTTTTAAGAAAATGATACTTTTAATAACATAGTACTTACCTGCCTCTACTGCCAGTACTGGAAGTACTAGGGGGTCTCACAGGTGTGTGAGAATTGGATAAACCTAAAAAAAACAGTAAGATAAACTGAGTACCAATGCACATTAGGAATGTGCATAATTCAAGACCGCTATAACCCAATTCAGAAATTGCTGGACACCAGAGCTAGTTGCAAAGATGGACAGCCCAGACACCTTAGAATCTTCCTAAGAATACAATTCTGTCAACAAAACTATCAGATCCAGAGAGAGCTGTGGTCCCTCAAGTCATGTGACAAACAATTCTACTTAGATTCCCATTACTCTTTTTAGAAGTCCTGGAATAATTCTTACTAAAGCTCAAGAGTTATGTAATTCAAAGCATGTTGAATTTTTAAGTCAGCAGACTGAGGTAAATCAATTATCCTCTACAGTGTCAGTGGCCTCATTCAACCAGCTGAAGAAATGAAGACCTTGAGAAGCTAGAGCTGTTCCTACCATTCTCCTGGAGGACTCTGGACTCAAGTCTGTAAAGTAATTCTTCTAGGGTCTCTGGCCTGCCAACTTGCACATAAATTTGGGACTTGAGTACTCACAATAATATAGTCACATGAGCCAATTCTTTTATATAAATCAATCTGTTTCTACACACGCACATAAACCCCTCCGCATACCTAACCTCTTCTTGTCACTTCTGTTTTTCTGAAGAACCCTGCATAACAGAGGGTATTAATAAGCTTTTAAAAAATAGAGGTAAAGAAATAGGCAATATCCTGGTTTGCTTTTACCTGATGATCCTGGAGAAAGGGCAGAGGGTCCGGGGGAAGGATTCATGGTGCTTGTAGGCTGTGGGGGTAGGTGACTGCCTGAGATGTATCTACTTAGTAGATTATCTAAACTACTTGAGCCAGCATCTTCCAACTGAGGAGAAAGAAAGACAAATTTGCTTTGATTAAAGCAGAAATTAGTAAATTCATTAGTGTTTGTGCTTATATTCACAATTTACTAATCAACTACTAGATTACCCAACATCAAGTTCAAGCGAATTGTTATCTTTAAGCTCTTCTGAGAACTCATGCAGTAGTTATGTGACTAAGCTATATATTATACAGCTGCTCAAAGAAAAGCCTAATAACCCACTAAATCCTATATTCCACTATGAAAATAGTTCTGATATACTGGTATTTTTGCTTTTTCTCAAACAGCTGCAGGACTCTATCAATATCCTTTACCCCCAGACCCCCTCTACTTCATTGTCTAGTGCTTCCAGAAGCACTCACCCTAAAGAAATGCAATCATGTCAGTACCAAACTGTAAGCTAAGCAAAATTCCTGAACCCCACAGAAAACCCCCAACTTGGGCCAGGGGATATAGCTCAGTGGTGCTGCATCTGCCTGAGTTCCATTCCCAGCACCAAAAGGCAACAAAATAAAACAAACAAACAAACAAACAAAAACAGAAAAGAGCCAGGCATGGTGGTGCATGCCTGTAATCCCAGCACTTGAAAGGCTGAGGTAGGAGGATCACTGTGAGTTCGAGACCAGTGAGTTCGAGACCAGCCTGGGCTACATAGTGAGTTCCAGGTCAGTCTCAGCTATATAGTGAGACCCTGTCTCAAAAAAACCAAACCAAATGTAACAAAACAAAAAAACATAGAAAAGAAAAAACCCTGACTCAACGTATACGTAAACAAAAATAAATCAGTACAGATGGCTCTTTAATACACACATGAAGGGATCAATCAATAGTAAATCTGAACCAGTTTTTAAAAACTCAGAGCCAGCAGGAGGTCAGAGGGCCCAGAACTGTGGTTTTGGGCTTCTTTCAAAAATAAACATTATTTCCTATCGTTAATATATCCACCTACACTACAGAACTGTAATGACTAAGTGAGAAAATATGTAAGTGTAAAAACATACTATTTAAGTATGAAAATTACATTAAGTTAAATTTTGGACTATTCTATTTAAGAGACAGTCAAATTAGTCTTAATCATAATCTTCCTAATTATTGTTCTATTTGTATGCACACCTGCCTGCCCCTTTTAATCTCCTTCTTTTTCTTTCTTTCTTTCTTTTTTTCCAGTTTTGGGAAAGGAACCTAGGGCCTTGAACACAATAGGTCAATTCTTAGATTATTTCTTATAGAAATGTACTTCTGGTTCAAGACAAAACTGAACATACGCATTTACCTCTGGCTCTCCTTTCCTCCTGAAGTGCACTGATTCTCATAGCACTGAGACAGACACAATGGCATCACAGTGCAGACTTTTCAGGAAACTATGGAAACTAAACTGAGGGAGAACTGTATCAGCAGGAACATGATCAGAATACAGCAATTCAACATAACCACAACACGGGAAGAGCCTCCTAAAATGTAAATAGGGCAATTTCCCCAATCCCTTTAAAAAAGTGCCACGCCAGACACCTGAAGGGTTAAAGGTGAGAGGAGACTATGGCTTATTTGGAGGAACAATTAAAGGACAGCAGTAGTTATGTCTGTCTATCCTGCAGCCAATGGCTAAGTATTCACTTAAAAGCTGTTCCTAGGACAGTGATGGCAAACCTTTTAGAACTTTCAGTGAGACAAATAGCCCGCTGCAGCACACATGCCATAGGTTTGCCACCACTACTACAGGAGAATCCCTACCTGCAACTCAGACCAAAGGGAAGGTTGGGGGAGGGTGTGTGTGAAGGAGGGCCACAAATGGATATGACGCTGCAGAATACCAAAAAGAAAAAGGTGGGGAATGATTCTAAACAAATGTAAAACTTCCATGTCACTTGCCTCTTCACCTGTCCCTTTATACTCTCTACCTACAGCTTATATTCCCAACTGGATAGATGACACTAAGGCTCAAAGAGTGAACAGGTCAGGAAGAGACAAATAGGAAGTATACAGAACAGCCTCTCTGGTGCCATTACAGCCCCCAAAAGAGAAATGATAACTAAAACATTCAAGTCTTTTCATTACTCATCAATAGAGTTCACTATAAAGTTTAAAGTCTAACTGAAAAAAGTAACAATACAAAAAATAAAATTAAATATAGTACTAGTTTTTAAAAAAGTAACAATTCATTCTCTTATTAAACCATTATTTTTTAGCATCCTAAATAATTACATGGAACATGTGTCATATAATAATTTCTATAGGGCTAGGCATTTAGCTCAGTGGTTCTGCTGCCTGCCTTGTAAGAGAAAGGTCCCGAGTTCAATCCCTGGTACCCCCCCAAAAAAATTCTGTAAAATAAAAGGAAAAGATAATAGCTAAATGAGCAGATAGTTCACAAAAGATAAAGATATCAGAAAAAAAATCAAGGAACAGGGCCAGGGATTTAGCTCAGAGGTTCAACTGCCTGCCTCGCAAGCACAAGGTCCTGAGTTGGATCCCTGGTACCAAAAAACTAACTAACTAACTAAATAAATAAAATCAAGGAACATAAAGTAACCAACCATTCTAAAAACAGAGAAACCAAATCAATAACATCATTTTACCTATCAAATTAGTAAAGATGGAAGAAAATGAATAACTTAACCCAGTGTTGAGAAAACACAACAGAAATGAGCACTTTCAAATATATAGGCTAGCCGTGTGTGTTTGCGTGTGTTTATTGAGACAGTGTCAGGCTGGCCTTGAACTCACTCTGTAGGCCAGGCTAGGGATCCCCTTGCCTCAACTTTTCAACTGCTAGGATTACACGTATGCACCACCACACCTGGTAGCATAATATTTTAAAGAACAAATTGTCAGTGACAATGCAAATTCAAACTGTAAACCCTTCTGACCCACTTCATCAACCTGTCTTAAGAGGAATATTCATGTGTTTAAGATAACATGCTTACTGTGCCTTGAAACTTTTAAAAAAATGCATTAAAATATAAAAAATGAATAAACACATCCAAAGTGTACAATCTGATTCCATATACTATGCAACCAAAATCAAGTAAATTCAATCTATCACTTTTATGTACCCCAATCCCTTCCCTCCCTCCCTCAACCTCAAAGATTGATGTTTTTTAACATTTTAGTTTGATTTTTTTCCCTGCAATATTATATAAATGAAATATACATTTTTAACGCATTTTCTTCCACTTGATGTGACTGTTTTGATGTTAGTTTATCCTGCTGGCTATACTGAGTTCATTCCTTTATATTGTTAATATTCCATCATATATAAAAGAAGCATTTATCTATCTTTAAGAGGGCATCGGGTTGTTTTCAGTTTTTGCTTTATTACAAAGCTGCTATGAACATTTGTACAAACCTCTGTACAGACATTTATTTCATTTACTCTTGCAGCTATATAGAAATGGAAGTCATATGTGTCTATGTTCAACTTTTTAAGAAACTGCCAAACAATTTCTCCAAGTGGTTACACAATTTTACAGTCCACCAAAGTTTATGATGGCTCTAGTCCTTCCACTTCCTCACCAACAATATTTGCTATAGTTAATACGATCTTTTTAATTTAGTCACCTTATGAGGTGGCTCATATTGTGTCTCGCTGGTTGCAACTTGAATTTCTCTAACGGCTAGTGGTATTATTAGCATCTTTTCACAAATGTATCTTTGTTTTTAATAATGAGATATGAGAAATAAACCCAAAGTTCACCAAAAGAAGGAAAAATACATCCAACAAAATGGAAAACCATATAGCTTTAAAAGCGAGGACACTATAAAGAAATGATGTAGAAAAAAAAGTCCAAAAAGACATAAAACTTTAAAGACAGTATTGACCAGGTTATGTGTATTGTACAATCTAATTTTCTTTTGTTCTCTCTCAATCTCCCACTGTGTAGTGGGAGATAGTAGTCAGCCTGCTCTATTTTTTTATTTGGAGTCAGAGTCTCACAGTAATAAGGTCTCACTACAACAAGCTGAGGTTTGCCTGGATCTTGCAATCTTCTTGCCTTAGCTTCCGTAAATACAGGCATGCACCTGTATTTCTTGGCTTCTGCTACTTATTATATATAAATCCATATGTTTGCAGGGAGGGATCTGAGATATACCACCTGGGAATAGTGTTGGGATTTAGTCGTATGAAAGAAGAATGAGGTATTATAGATTCTCTCATTTTTCATCGACTGACTGATTGCAGTGCTGGGAACTGAACCCAGGACCTTCAAACTAAGCCTTCCTCACCTCATGCATTTGAGACAGCATCTTCCATTGTCCATACTGTGTTCAAACTTATGATCCTCCTGACTTACTGTTTCAGACTGCTGTGGTACAGGTGCACACCACTACATCCAGCTGTGAGTCCTGAAGCCTAAATTTTAGCTTCATTATAATCCCATGGGACCACTGTTGCGGCCTAGTATTGACTGTATCATCGTTTTTGGGCTTATGACTGCATTTCTTACTATTTTTAAAATTTCTATTGCCTATTGATGTCATACCAAGCACTGCATTGACTACATCATGTGTGTTTGTAATGCTGGTATAAACAAACCCACTGTAGAGTCATGTAAAAGAATAGTACCAAAAAATTTTTAAGTACAGTATATATAATTATGTAGAGCACATAATACTTATAATGATGACTATGTTACTGGTTTACGTATGTTTATACTTTTTATTATTATTCTCCCAAGTATACTCCTTTTACTTCAAAAAAAAAGAAAGAAAAGAAAAGCCAGGTGTGGTGATGGACACCTGTAATCCCAGCACTCTGGAGACTGAAGCAAGAGGATCACCATAAGTTCAAAGCCAGCCTGGGTTACATATTTAGTTCAACGAATGAACTATACAGTGAAATCCTGTCTAAAAAAAAAAAAAAGAAAAAAAAAAAAAAAAAAAA